ATCGGACGGTTTAGATTTAATCTTGATGGACGGTTGAGATTAAAAGGCAAAGGGTATAAATAACCCCACGCACACCTGACCACAAAACCCTAGACGCCAGTGCCTCGCCGGAGAAGAAAAACCATACGTCGGAGGAGCCGGCCGCTGCCACTTGCCGCAGTACCGGAGAAGTTTCCGACCGCTAATCGAGGTAAATTTTCTCTCCCTGGCTTATTTTTTGATGTTGAATCCGCCTATGGCCAAATCGGAGCCAAACCAATGGCCAATCGGCTGGAAAACCCCGCCGAAGTCCGGCGGCGCCGCCGCGACTCCCCTCTTTTTTTTGCCTCCGATGAAGCCCTTCCCGGCCTCCGTTCGATGTAAATTTTATACCACTGTGATCACCATTCTTTTCTCTACATGTTGATCGGAGCCAAACATCAAAACGCGACTTACGCCGGAGGAGCCACCGCACTCGAGAGCACCGCCGCCGGTAAGTCTCGATTTTTCGTGATTTTTTGGTCCACCGAGGGCCCTAGGGTTGTTTTATCACATGGACTAATGCAAGTTTGGCCGAATTCGGCCGAAAACGGCCAACCTGAGGCGGATCGCTGCCGAAAACGGCCAACCCGAGGCGGATCGCCGCCGCAGGTGGAGGCGCCGTCGCCGGAGCACGGCGGAGCCGCCGTGCCGGAATTCCGATATTGGTCGAAAGGGGCCCTATGTCTGATTTGGAATTTTTTATGACACGTGCAGGTACCGGTAGTGCGTTTCAGTTTTTCGAAAAAAATTCAGGGAAATTAGGGACAGCCCGTAGGCACACTATAGAGTCGATTTCAGACCCCGAAATAAGTAAGGACCCCTCACCCTATTTCCTATAACGATATTAAAGCTTAATAAATAATTAAACGGTATTTTGTGACTTTATAGATGTGAAATTGATTAAGGTTGCCAATGGAGCCCGAATCTAGTACATTGTTGGTCAGTTGTCGCTTGATCTATTTTTCAGTATTAAATGCAGAATGATGTTTGATGTATTCATTTTATGGTCTCGTATGCATGAACTATGGTTTCTTTTATTATGGTTGGTATTATGGTGAACCCGATACTGTGTTGTCTTATTTGGTGTCAATTACTGGTTTACAGGTTTGTGTATGATTGAATGAGTGAGACCAAGGAAAATGGTAAAAAGGTTATGTGAATTGATGAGTGGATAATATGGAGAGCCTGACTAGATATCTTGGGAGATGGTGGACGGACCGGGTCCGTAGAGAATCCTACCGGGAATGTGGTCTCTCATACCGGACGGGGTATGGAGACCTTATGTGTTTTGGCGCCCATACCGGACGGGGTATGGGGACGGCCCTGCAATCAGGTTGTAAATGTTAATGGTTCACGTGTAGCGGGGACCCCCTATGGATCCCCATGGATACTAGTAGGCTGGTAAAAGATGAAATCTGTCTTTTGATGATTGAAATGTAAATGTATGATATGTGTTATGTTATAAAGTGTGTATGATTTCATGATATTATAAGGTTATTGTTTTCATAGGTTATTTTCATGAATCTCACCGAGATAAGTGGACAGTAAATGTTTTTATGTTAATAAATGAGTTTGTTATAAATTATGTTCAATTGGTTGTTTTTGTTTTCTACCAACCTTTACTCCTGTGTTAGTGAGATAGTGTGATGTCTTTACTGGGTTAGTGTAGCTCATTCCTTACTTAATTATTTCAGATCAGGAAGACGTGGTTCCCGAGCCCGTTCCGCAGGAAGACGGCGAGTTA